TCTGGGCAGCTCGGCCGCGCTCGCCAGGCCCGTCTGTTCCCTCCAGGCCGTGTCAGGTGCGTCCTGTTCGTTTGCCTCCACGTGTTCCTGGCGCGTCTGCCAGGCTCGTCGGGTGGCCTGCGTGTCACCCTTTCATCAGACTCTTCTTTTTCTTCAACTTCAGTTTTGCCTTTCAGTTTTGTTTGGGAATTTTTAACAGGATTTTTACTTTTCTGTGGACTTCAGTCTGTCATCCTCTTAAGGCAGTATATTGGTCTGCTTAGGACAGAGGCCCCTCCTCAAGATTATGTGAGTCCAGTGACATTTTCTTCCAAGTTTTACGTTTAAAACGTTGATCTACTGGGCATGTATTTGGGGACGTGTGTAAGATGGAAGCTCGCGCACCCCTGGCCCGGACTGCCCTCGTGTCCCTCAGCTGGGCTGCGTCGTGACCTCACGGGGTGACTGTCCTAGGGGTCACCAGGGAGGCGGGGGGTAGGGGCAGAGCAGATGGTGGCCATGGTGGGGGCTGGAACCCAGCCAGGGGGCAGAGGGTGAGGGGCACGACCCAGAGGGAGCTGGAGAAATGGGGTGCAGGCAGCGGGGCCCTTTACCTGGAACCCATCAAGGGTGGGGCTTATCCCGGTGGGTCAGGCCGGGTGGCACCTCAGCTGACCAGAGGTGAGGGCGAGGCCCAGCGACTGCCCCAGCAGGCGAGAGGAGCCTATTGGAGCAGCTCGAGGCGCCCGCTGCAGACACCACGGTGCCGGCTTCTCAGGGGCCTTGGCCGCCAGGGCTCCGGTCTATGGGCCGTCTCCGCATCCTGGTGGTGCGGCTCAGGGCCCGCAGGAGGCATCGGGGTGGAGGGTGCAGGGGCTGATGGTGGACGGGGTGCAGGCCGCGGGTGGCAGGTGTCTCCAGGTTCCGGGCTGGGGCGTGGAGGGAGGCACTGGGGCGAGGCCTTGCGGGCCTCAGGCTGCGCTGCTGTGGGAGGGCAGGTGCCGGGTCGGGTGGGCCTCTGGCACGGACCCCCATGGGGACTGTCTCCCAGGGAACCCAGCCAGGCTCTGCCTGTGCCTTCCATCCATGGCTTGTCCCCACGCGGAGCCCTGCCAGGGGTCCTGCGGGCTCGGGCCCAGGTGGCGGGCTGCCTCAGGAGCTCACATCAGGGCAGGGGATGGCCACTGCGGGGCCAGGTGGGGTGGGGACAGAGAGACAGAGGGTAGAGAGGGAGAGGAGGGGTGATGGAGAGAGTTGGGGGTGGGGGAGCAGAGGAGGGGCCAAAGGCTGAGGGGACACTCGGACACTCGGTCGAGGACCCGCCCCAGCCCTGGGCCCCAGCCCCTCTGCCCCTCAAGCTGAACTCTGCACCCCCTTGTGGGGCCATTAAGGCCCAATAATACCTGTTTTTTTGCAGCTAACGTACAAAACACCAATAGCTTTGGCTGGAATGGATGTTTAAAGTGTCATTTTATGGAGAATTTTACTTTCCATCTTGTTGTTTATTAGGCTCTTATAGGGAAAGCTTGTAATGCATCCATCGATCGAAATACCAATTGAACAGATGTGAGCACATCACGTAGCCCAGCCCTGTGACGGGGCCGCGGTGTGATGGACGCAGCGCAGTTAGTGTGGCCACAGCGCGTGGCTGGAGGGCGCCCGGAGTCACTGCTGCTGGTTACCTGGGAGAGGTGGGGGTCTCCCTCAGGAAGGAGCGGCACCTGGGGGAGCCTCCAGGCGACCTGCGGGCCAGCCCCCCAAGGCCACACAGCCCCGTGTACCCAGGCCTCAGTGCCCAGCAGTGGTCCTGCCTCTGTCCCAAGGTGGCGAGAAAGGGAGGGGGCGGCCCCGAGAGCCAGGTGGCTGCAGGGGAGCGGCTGCAGGGGGGCTGCCCCCTCACCTCCCATGCTGCACCCCTGCTCACTGGGGGACTCTGTCTCCCCCAGAACCTTCTGTCAGCACCGCCCTGCAGACCACCCGGCATGTGGGGGGCCTCGTGAGGGGAGGCCTGAGCTGCGCCGGCCTTGAGGGGTGCGTAGGAAGGGTGTGGGCTCTCTCTGAGCTCGAGCCACGTCTCTGCCAGGCAGGTGGCACACACTGCACTGGCCCTGCGCCGGGGCCTGGGAGCAGGGGGAGGCGGGGGGCGTCAGCGTGCTGTGGAGAGCGTGCTAAGCCTGCAGCCCTGCGCCGGGGCCTGGGAGCAGTGGGAGGCGGGGGGCGTCAGCGTTCTGTGGAGAGCGTGCTAAGCCTGCAGCCGTCACGGTGGTGCTGCCTGACCTACTTGGGATTTGCTGTGCGGAGCCGCCTCCGCTTCTGCTGACGGCGCACTCCCTGCACCTCGCAGCCTCGCAGAACCGCGCTCCATTTCCTGAAACTGCTTCCCCACTTGCTTTCTCTGCTCCCCAGCCAGCCCCCCGCCCCTGGCGGGTCAGCACCGCCTGGGCGGCCTGGCCACTCACTGCCCCTGCCCCAGCCAAGGGGGGTCGGCGGTCAGACTCCACCTGGGAGCCAGGCTGAGCCCCTGCCAGCCACCGCCCTGCGGCCGGGTCTCCCTGCATGTGGCCCCGGCCTCGGCCCACGGCCCGCCCGCCACCACACTCTCATGCGGGGTCTCTGGCCCCGGGTGACCCTGTCCCAGGGGAGGCCCCGCCCTCTCTAGTCCCTGAGGAGGGTGCCAGGCTGCTGGTGGAGCTGGTGTGCTGAGCCACGAGGGACCTCAGGGTTGAAGGAGCAGAGCCTGGTGTCCAGGGGGGCCTGGCAGAGTGGCCCTCTCGGGTCTGCCCGAGGTGAGCCCTGCACACCCTTCCCTGGTCCCTGGCTTCTCGGCGCAGCCTCCTGTCTTGCCCAGACCCTGGTGCCTTCCTCTGGGTCTCTGCCCTGGTACCTCCCCCTCCGCTCCCGCATGGCCTGGCCCCACCCATGTGCTCACGGCGGGCGGGCGGCCGGGAACTGCCCGCTGCTCCCCACGCGGAGGACACGTGGGCAGCTCCTCTTTCACCTGCCTCTGGTGTGTCGCCCCCATTGCTGCCCATTTTCACTTAAAGTGTTGTCTCCCCCCATCCCCCGTCCTTCGTGCCCCCCCCCCGGGGGGGTGTAGTCAAGGTTATGGTGATAAATCCTGGGGCATCGTCACTTCTATTCGGAGTAAATTGGCTGGCCTCTTTCAGGCTGAAGGAAAGATAATTTGCTGTAGTATTTCAAATGGATTAGAAATGGATTTGAAGGGGAAGTTCATGCCTCCTATTACAGAGGCGAGAAAGAAGACCGTCTGAAGGCACAGCTCCCTCCCTGGCCTTCATTATCCACGCTTAATACCTTTCCTATTTCCCAGCGTTAATGAAATTTCCTGGCGGCGTGGGCCCACCGGACGCAGGGAGAAGCCTTTAGACCTGAGGCTGCTGCTGGAGAAAAGGAATTACCAGGCCCTGGGCGAGGGCAGGAGCGTCCCCAGGCCCTTGGCCCCGCTATTACCTCATTAATCTCACCCCCTCTCCTCAGCCCAGCTCCTTCCCACAGGCTGTCCTCGCCATTAGGTAGCCATTGGCTGAGGCTCTGACACCCAGGCAGCGAGAGGCTCCTGTGTGCGGGCGGGTGCCCCCTCCCCCGTCCCAGTCCTCAATCAGGGACAGCGGGTGAGGAAGGACACAGGTGGTCAGGGCACTGCAGGTTGGGCCTGTCTTCCAGGGCAGGTGGGCTTTCCCCGGGCCCTGGCCCGCTCCCCGCAGTTCTGTGGGTGCGCCCCTCCTTGGGGCGGCCTCGTGACCCTGCAGGGACGCGGTTTCCCTGACTCCGCTGGCCGGGGCTCCGCTCTGGGCTGTGGGATGGGGGCTCAGGCACAGCTGCCCTGAGAACAGGGGCCACAGCGCCTGCGGAGGGTGCAGAGCCCCTCGGGGCCCCAGCGTTGGCGGGCCTGCAGGGAGGGGCTGGCGCAGGAAAAGACCCTCCCCTACCAGCCCTGCCCTCTCTCCTCACCCTGGCCCGAGGTCTCAGGAGAGCCTGGAGGGCTGGCTGCCTCCCCCAGGGGGTGCCCACACACCCCACCCTCCCGCCCAGACTCGCCTTTTGTGGGGCAGCTGGAGCGCACGGGCAGGGGCGGCCTGGGCCATCTCTGGGGTCCCTGGGTGGGGCCCATGGTCGGTGCTCGGGACTGGACTTTAATGAAGGGAAATGGGGTGAAGTGCTCCAGGCGGCTGCCTCCTGTGCCTCCCGGAGCTTGTCCTTATCCGCAGATTCGTCCCGAGGTCCTGGGGAGAGGGGTGCAGGCTGCGTGGGGGGGGGGGGCGGCCACGCCCAAGAGCAGGGCTACTGACCCAGCACCTCAGTTCTGGGTGCGCCTATGTGGGTGCCTGGGTGCTGCCCCACCGCACTCATCACATCCTCGTTTAGGGGCGCCCTCCTGCTGCCCACGTGGGGTTGGGTTCCGTGTGCGCGTTGTGGCCTCCACCTCACTGCTCCCTGCTGTGCCCGAGGGGGGCCTCGGGGGAGAGGCAGTGTGTCCACAAAGACGGGCAGGCTGCTTTGCCAGGAGGCAGGCTGCACAGTGGTCATAGCTGGCATGGAATGAAGCTCCATTCGCAGAAATAAATTACTGTTGGGATTTGTCCTGAGGGGTGAGCCCCACGCCCTCTGGAGTCAGGAGGCTGGCTGGTCCCACCCTGGACGCCCCACCCCTCCTCCTGGTGGCAGCAGCTCAGGGGACAGCTGGGGGCAGGTCAGCCAGGATGCTGCAGGGCCACCGAGCCCAGCCCGGGAGCCTGTGGCCGATCCCACTGTGGGGGCCCCGGTGCCTGCAGGGCGTCTCTAAGTGAGGATGTCAGGCCTCCTCCAGGGCCCAGGCCGTCCTGGCTCCGGGGTGTGCCTGTTGGAGGGGAGGCTTGTCTCTTCCCCGTGACCCTTCAGGGGCTCACAGAGCCTGGCTGGTGGGGTTGGGACACCCCTCCTGTGCTGTGGGGGGCAGGGCAGCAGAGGCCTCCCGCCTGGGGTCTTGGAGCTCAGCTGACTGGCATCTCCTGTGTCTGCAGGTCCCTGGTGCTGAATCGCCTGCGCCCTGCCCGCGGCGGTGGGAGGGTCCAGCTCGGCTCCCCCCGCTGGCGGGACAGAGGCTACCGCTGTATCGGAGGGGTGCTCTACCGGGTGACAGCCAACAAGCTCGCCAAGACTCCCGGCCGGCCCAGTGCTGAGGGGGCCTGCAGGCCCCTCCTGCGTACAGGTGAGGCTCCCTGAGGCCCGGCCCGCCTCTCCCGGCTTCACTCCCAAGATGCTCCTGGGCCCCCTTCCGAATGGGTGCTCCCCCTTCTGATTGGTTGCTCCCCCTTCCAAGTGGCTGCTCCCCCTTCCGAGGGGCTGCTCCTCAAATCCCAGCAGCATTCATCACTTCAACTCGCCCTGATGTTGGGCAAGGCGGGGAGCAGGCCGGGCACTGACGGGAGGCCCTGCAGCCTCTGTTCCCAGGGAAGGCCCCTCAGGCAGGCGAGGGCTCTCACTGGGCTGAGCGGTCCCTGATTTCCCGTGTTTGCTCCTGAACAAAGGCAACGAGCCAGGTATGGTGAGCAGGGCTGGCGAGGGAGCACCTGGGGCCGTGGCCCTGGAATCACATTGGCACCGCCTCCCCGGAAACAGTCCGAGCAGGAGGGGATGCTTTGGGTTCGCTTATGGTACAGATTAACTCGGGGAATGTTGTGGTTTCAGTCCTCTTTTACCCTCTTCCCGTTCTGTCAGAAAAAAGGGCAGGATTGCAGGCAGGTGGGGTTGCAGCACCAGGGCCCCGGCCCCACCCCTGCCGGCCAGGCTCCCAGGGCCTCTGTCTGTGGGGCTCAGGGCGCCCACAGCCCTCTTCCAGGCAGGTCCGCTGGGCTACCCACGGAGACACTCAGGGCCTGGGAGGCCTGGCTCCATTCTGCCCGTGGGCCTCAGCGTCACCATCCCTTTGCTGGCGAAAAGCAGGTGCAGGGCGCTGGCCAGGCTTCCCTACGGGGCCTCCTAGGCTCAGCCCCAAGGGCGCAGTGCTGGGTCAGGACAGCCCCTCCCACTAGCAGGTCGGTTGCCTCTAACGTCAGAGCTGAAAGGCTGGTGGCATCCGTAGTCATGGCCCTCAGGCTCCACACACAGCAGTGGCATGGTGGAGGGCAGGGTCTCATCCACTGCCTTCCCCAGAAGCAGAGCCCTCCCCACCTGCCTCTCCCCTGAGGCGGGCTCCTCCTGGGTGACAGAGCCACAGAGGGCAGCTCCTCCTGGGTGACAGAGCCACAGAGGGCAGCTCCTCCTGGGTGACAGAGCCACAGAGGGCAGCTCCTCCTGGGTGACGGAGCCACAGAGGGCGGGCCCAGGGCCGCGCTGCAGAGGGATGTCTGGTTGGCCCCTGTGGTTGAACTCGCTGGCCCATCTCCCCTGGGGCCTCCTTGGCACTGGCCCTTGTCCCCTGACCCCCACGCTGGCCTGGCTGGCAGGACCTGGCTCTGCTCTTGCGCCCTCACCTCACGGGCTGGACGAGCTTACTGGCCTGCAGACAGAATGCCCTTCAGTGGGCATCTCATGGGGCCACATGCCCACCCCGTCAGCCCCAGGGGTCTGGTGCCACTTACTGAAACCAGGCCTCAGGGACTCCTCCCTGGCCTGACATACACAGCCTTGTCCGGGAATCAGACTTGAGACCCTTGGGTGCGTGGGCCGACACTAACCCGGGAGCCACGCCGGGCAGGCCCCGCCCCTCCCCTTCCGTATCCCCTGGTCTCTGTGGCAGAAGTGCCTGGCGGCCAGAGAGGAAGAGGCGGTCTGCACCTCCTCACAGAGCTGCTGCTGGGCCCTGCGTCCAACCCTAGGGAGAAACCCAGGTGCCACCTGGGGAGGCAGGCAGAGCCTGTGGGAGGGGCCGGCGCTGGGGGCACTATGGGGGTGCACCCTTCCCCCCAGTCAGGCCCCACCTGCCCACCTGCTGGGGTAGAGCTGTCTCTCTTCGCACAGGGTGGTGGCCACATTGCACGGTCCCCAGAATCGGCCCCCACCCTTCTCCCCACCCCCAGCCTCAGGGGCCTGGGGCCACCGATCCAGGAGGCCCCTCCCCAAAGACCTGCCCTGCAGGCCGCGCTGCCACCTGCTGACCAGCCTCGGTGGCCTCTGAGGGGCAGGCCTAGGGCTCAGCCCTCCCAGCTCAGGGCGGGGAAGGCGGGGACAGGACAGGACAGAGGGGAGCGAGCCCTCGGGGCTCCTCACTGGGAGGGGCCGATGGCTCCAGCTGGCGCTGTGCCCTGACCCGCGCCCACTTGGCCGAATAGCTTCTCCTCATGTGAGAGGAGCTGTGGCCTCAGCAGGAAGGAGCAGCCTCCTGACCCTCCCTCGGCCTCTCCTGCCTCCGTGGCTTTCTGGGGGGCGTTGCTTTCTGGGGGACGCAGAGCTCAGAGCCTGTCTTCCTGGGGCAGACACGCTCCTGACCCTGGGGCCAGGCACTTCCTTCCTGGGTCCAAGGCCTGCCCTCCACAGGCCCAGCCCCAGGACCCTCCCACAGGCCCTGCTGAGACCTGGTGCACTGGGTGTGGCTCTGATGGGCACTTCGTGGGCCTGTGGGTCCCAGAGCTGTGGGTCCCTGCGCGCCTCGTCCCCTGCCAGGGCCACCGTCTCGGCCGGGACTGCAGGCTGGCCCTAGCCCCAGAGCACGGCCGCTGTGGCAGGCTCCTCCTGGGCAGGTGTGACTGCATGCCTCTCGCCTGTGACCTGTCGGCCCCAAGATGGCTGCTTCGAGGTCACAGAGTGCCTGACTGTGGCCCGCACCCCACCCCTGCCCCCCTCCCTCCCTCCCACACGCCGCCTCCTAGGCTCCCGTTACCAGAGCCAGGCCAGGGTGTCCGTCTCTCCGCGGGGGCACTGTGCCCAGGGGCGCCCTCTGACCAGAGCCGGTCAGGGCCGGGCACCCGCAGGGAGGGCACGGTGGGGGGGGGGGACTGCCTATTTTGGGAAGATCCTGGGAAGCGCGTTCTCTCGAAGGCTCACACCTCCTGCTCCAGGGCGGTTTCAGCTGAATGTTTCAGCACCTCGGCCCCTCACCGCCACTTGATGTGCATTTTTAACGCCCGGAGCGTCTGAAAGCTGCCTCCTGTGCCTGGCAAAGCGCCCGAGCCCCACACTGGCATCTCTAAGAGCAGAAAGTGGGAGGGGAGTGAGCCGGCCCCCTCAGGAGCCACGTGGTGACAGCACCCCTGGCAGGAGCGGGCGGCGCCACGGCCTCAGCGCGGCCTGGGTGGCAGCCGGGACCGCCAGCACCGGCCATCCCATCGCACCGTCCCCGCCAGCGGGCAGGTGCACGCACCACGTGCCACGGGGCCGGACCCACAGCCCCGGGGGTGTCCCAGCCTGGGAACCGGCTCCACTGGGTCTGGGCTGCCCTACGCCCCCCAGAGCCCCTCTGTCCCCCGCCGGCCCCGCCTCCTGCACCGCCGCCAGCCTGGCTTCCACGCAGAGCACGTCCTCCTGTTGGGGTCCTGCTGTTCAGCCTTGGAGACACCCCTTTATTTTTTTTATTAGTAAACTTTTTTTATTGATTTCAGAGAGGGAGAGAGAGACATGGGTGTGAGAGAGACAAGGATCCACTGCTGCCTCCCACACGCCCCCACTGGGATCGGGACTCAAACCAGCAACCTCCAGGTTGAGCCCCAGCAGCCAGGGCGCAGGCCCCCTTTTAACTGGAGGAGACTGAGGTGCGGGGGTGGGGGGGATGGGGGTCGGGGGGGGGGCAGTGGCAGGGTGTCGCTCCAGCAGGCAGTGAGGGCCGGGCCTGTAGAGGGCTCCCGAGTGCCCAGGTTGGGCAGGGACTTGGGCGGCACAGGCTGCAGAGGCAGTGGCCCTGGGAAGGTCGCCAGGAGGGTGCCCGCCGGGCCAGGAAGTGCAGGGACAGCCTTTGCCGCGGTGCTTTGTCATCGCCCGGCCCCCAGCTTCCCGTGGGGTCGCCCAGCCGAGCCATCTCAGCAGCTGCCAGGAAATGGGACCTGGTGTCCGCGGAGGCTCCCGCCCTGCCCTGCGCCTGGGAGGGGACGTGTCACAGGCGGGGTTCAGTGTCCACAGGACCCCCCGCAGGGCAAGCCCAAGCCCCCCCCCCCACATCCACTTGGTGAGCAGCTGCCCTTTGGGCTGCTGAGGCCTGGGAGCTGGACCTGCTTGTCAGGGCCCCAGAGCCGGGCTGAGGGTGTCCGGCTCGTGGCCACGTACCTCTGTCTGTCTGTCTGATTTCACTCCCTTTAAATGCACAAGACCACTGGCTCATGGGAAGCCAGGGCCGTCTCCAGAGCCACTCGGCCACATGCCCTGGGCTCTGCCCCAGGCAGAGGGGGCAGTATGGCCCTGGGGAGCCGGTCCCTGTGCCACGTCTGCGGCCATGTGTGTGGGCGAGAGGCAGGGCCTGGCAGGAACCCAGCCTCGGGAAGGGGGTGGTCCCCCGGAGGGGATTGCTGGGTCTGAGCTCATGGTGGAGACCAAGGGGCCTGTGCCAAGCTGGGGAGCGGGCAGAGCCCAGGCTGGGGGTGGGCCTGACCTGCCTCTCCCCACAGGCCGGCTGGACACTCCTGGCAGCTGCAGCCGCTCCCTGGCCAGGTATGTTCCTGGGGTGGTGGGGGGGGGGGGCGGTCTGTGCACCTCTGTCGGCCTCACCCCACCCCCTGTCCGCAGCCGGGCCGTGCAGCGCAGCCTGGCCATCGTGCGGCAGGCCAGGCAGAGGCGGCGCCGGGCAGAGCAGGAGTACTGCATGTACTACAACCGCTTCGGCAGGTGCAACCGCGGCGAGCGCTGCCCCTACATCCACGACCCTGAGAAGGTGGCCGTGTGCACCAGGTGAGCCCGGCCTCCAGGTGGCTGGCTGGCGTGGGTCTGCGAGGGCCGTCCGTCTCACCCGCCCTTAACCCTCTTCCCCGTCCGTTCGCATAGGTTTCTCCGGGGCACGTGCAAGAAGACGGACGGGACCTGCCCCTTCTCCCACCAGGTCTCCAAGGAGAAGGTGAGCGCAGCTCCGGCGGGAGCGGGGGCACCTGGTGTGTTCCTGACAGGTCCCCTGGCGTCGGCCAGGAGCTGGGCTGTGACCCGAAGGCTCTGCTCTCCATCCCCCGGGGGGGCCCCCACTCTGCTCAGCCGGCTCTCACCCAGCCCTCCTGGCGGGGTCCTGTGCCATGCCTCCTGCCAGTGCCCACAGGGCCCCTCGCTGTGAGGACAGGTCTGCGATGGGCAAGGGGCAGCCGTGGGCAAAGGGTGCTGAGAGGCCAGAGGCTTCCCAATCACAGGGAACCGGGCGGGGGGCGCAGAGGGCCTCTGGTCCCAGGCCCCTACCCCGTGGGTTGAGGTGAGTGGACCCCATCTGCAGGCTCCCAAGGGGCAGAGCCAGGGTGGCGTGTGGTCCCAGTGGGTACGGGAGTTCAGGCTGGGCCAGTGCTGGCCGGGGAGCCCAGGGAGGGGCCGACGGGGGAGGGGGGCGGGCGGCGGGCAGTGCTGCTGTGGCAACAGCTTTTCCCCTTGAGGAGCTTGGGGAGAATCAGCGTTTTTCCCTAATGGAGCTCCAAGCTCTGGCTAGCGATTTGGAGACTCACGTCGAGTTTCGGGCTCATTAGCTCTTGGCTCCAAAGCCGCGCCCGGGCCGTCTGCGTGGCCGCGGCTTCTGCGTTAACGTTGCTGTTATTTGTGTGGACGCTGTGGGTGCAAACAAGGTTAATTGAAACGAGAAGGCCGTCTCCTCTGGATAACGGCCGTGCTGACAGCGAGGCGGAGCTCCGCCTGGCGTGGAGCTGGCTTCATTATCCTTTTTATTAGAGCTAATTTGGGCTCTAGATCAAAAGCCACATTAAGGGGGTTGTCTGCAGCCCCCCCTCCACCGGCCCCTCTCCGCTCTGCGCTGCCGTTAAAAGACAATTAGAAACAAACTCGCACGCAGGGAAACCGCCTTTGTTTCTCTGCTCTCCCTCCTCAGCCCCCTCCCCCCTCCCCCAGAAAAGTGCCAGTGGGGAGCCAGGGGGACCGACTGGGGGTGCTGCCCCGCCCCCGCAGAGTAGCGGGAGGGGGAGACCCACAGGGCCCTGCGTGGCTCCTGCAGGACAGTGGGCGGCTGAGGTCCCAGAGAGGAGTCGCTGGAAAAGTGGCAGCTGCAAAGGTCAGGGGGGGGGGTCAGAGACTCCCGCTGGCTCTCGGGGCTGTTTCCCAGTGGGAAGGAGGGGGGCTGTGCATCTTCCTGTCCCAGCTGGGCCACCTGCCACAGGCCAGGGTACTGGCCGGGCCCCTGCCAGGCCTCCACAGACTGGGGCTGCTCCCGGCGGCTCCCTGCCCGCTGAGCCCACCGCCCACCGCCCACCCTTGCCCAGGAGGGGCCAGGTCTCCAGCCCAGGACACTGAGGCGTCCACTGCTCAGGTCACTGGAAAGCCTGCCCCCGTGCGGCCCACAGCCTGGGACGGGCTCGGAGGCCCCATCTCAGTCCTGAGCCCCTGGTAGGGCTGCCCGGCTCCCGTCCAAGGAGGTGCCCTGGCTCCTGCTGGCCCTGCTGTGGCCGGTGCTGTGTCCCCTCCTCCTGGGGCAGGACCTTGTGAGGCCTCCAGCCACAGTCTGTGCGGCGCATTCCTGGCTGTGGAGCATGTGGCAGGACCCTAGAGTCGGGGTGTTTATCTGGGAAGTGGGGTGCAGACGCCTGACCGGTGCAGGAGCTGTAGGCCTCGCCCTCACTGCTGCCCCTCCCTCCCCACAGATGCCTGTGTGCTCCTACTTCCTGAAGGGGATCTGCAGCAACAGCGACTGCCCCTACAGCCACGTCTACGTGTCTCGGAAGGCGGAGGTCTGCACCGACTTCCTCAAAGGCTACTGCCCGCTGGGCGCCAAGGTGAGCCCCTCCCCCTTCCTGTCCCCACGTGGGCCTGAGGGTGGGGGCTGGACGGGTCTCCTCAGTCCCTGGCGCCCCAACAGGCAGCTGCTCACCTGCCCCACCGCTGGTGCATGGCGCCCGCCTCGGGGGCCTGCAGCCTGGCCGGGCTCTGAGGGAAGCGGGGGCACCGGGCAGGGCTGACCCCTTCCTGCCACCAGGCCGAGATGGGCCTGACGGGGTGGACGGGTCACCTGAGGGACGCCCGGTGCGGGGTCGGGCGGTGGATGGTTATTGTAAAATCCTCCGGTTTAAAAGGAAGGTCAGAGCTGTGTTTCAGTGTTGCTCCTGGAGGAAGTGCTTACTGCGCCCCTTTCGGGGCGGGCGCTGCGCGGCCCACATGATGGATAGCGGCTCGTAATTATAGATGGGAAAGCGCTGAGCAGGCCGCGCGGGCGCGAGCCGGGCCCGGGAGGGTTAACTCGATTCTCTAAATAATATGAGAAGTGCTGAGTGGGCACCTCCCGCCTGGAGTGCCAGCCGAATGGCCCCAGAGAGTTGGTGATATTCCACTGGATCGAGTGGAATTGTTAACCCTGCTTCCTGGAGCCACGGCTTGTTAAAGGGGGGCGTCCCTTTTCGTGTGAGTCACTCGGGCTGCTCTGGCCCCTGGGCTGGGGCTCACCGGCCACGGGGCCTGCTGACCCGCGTCACTCAGTGTGGTGTCGGCCTTCTGCTTCGTGCGTGTGCGTGTGCGTGTGTGTGTGCATGTGTGTGCGTGTGCGTGCGTGTGTGTGTGTGTGTGTGTGTGTGCTTGTGGCGGGGGAGACTCCGGAAGCTGCTCCACCCGCTAGTTCCACAGCTGCCGTGTTTGTCCTCTGCGTGCGAAGCCATCGTCCCGTCCGTGGGTTCTGGTGGCGCTGGCTCAGGGAGAGCTCAATCGGGTTTGCATCAGTGTGGACTCTGCAGGTGACATCCCTCCCGTCCCTGTCCACTTAGGGGCATATGGCCTGGCCTTGCGTTTGAGGCACTGCAGGTGCTGCAGGCTCACCTGGCTCTCCCGCTGCAGCCCTGCACCCTCCAGCCCCCTCTGCACAGAACCTCGAGGTCACACTGCCACTGCCACTGCCGCCAGCCTGCCCGCATGTGCCACGCCAGCACAGCCAAGGGTGACCCCGAGTGGGGGGGTGAAAGGATTAAGGAAAGACAGACAAGAGAATGAAGGCTGGGTTTTGGTGGGACGCTGCTCCCTGATGAGGAGCCAGCGCCCACAGGCCGTGTCTTTATTTTGTAGCAGATGCCACGGGGCAAAGCAGGGGTGCGATCACGTTGTTTACAGCATTCTCATGAGTTCCAACCCCACTCAACTACATGCACCCGAACTCTAGCACGAGGCGCGTGGGGCCACGTGTTCGGACCATAGGGTCAAGCTCACGACCACAGCCGTTGGCTATGATTGTGCTGGGGGGGCCCTGCCCTCCAGCTGGGACTTGCACGTGGCAGTGAGAGGACCCTGTCCCTTCATTAGTCCGAGGCTTGAACGTGGACAAAACACCGTAACCACGCCCCACACCCGCACTCCGGCCCTCCCTGGACTTCCTATTGCTCATGCTGCCTGGGGGCTCCCAGCAGTGAGGCGTCCCTCTCCTGCCTCACAGACGCTGTGCCCTCTGGCTGGCGCTCATTCCCTGCCTTCTGATCGCAGCAGCGCCCCCATTGACCACCGCCTGGTAGCTTTGCCTTTCAGTTGAACTCTTCCTGGTTTGGGGCACCGTTCTTCCGTTTCTCACCCTGTGGGTCTGTCCTAGGATCTGTCCCACCCAAGGCCCCGCCCTCATCTTCTGCCGCCAGCCCCACGCCTGCCACTCCAGCCCCTTTTCTTTTCTGTAAAACGGGGATGTGCAGAGCCCCCCACATGGGGGGCGGCCGCCTCTGTGCAGGCGCCGGGGGAAGGGAAGGCCGTTGTCCGCTGCTCGCGGCCCACCCGCTGGGGCCAGGTGTTCTCACACATGGGCCCTTCCCCGCACCGCGTGCAAACTGCCCATCCTTCCCTCCGATCCTGGCGCCCAGGGTCACAAAGCCGCTGCTCTGTGTAAAGAGGGCGGTGTGCGTACCTTCCTGCTCACCCAGGGCAGGCGCACGCCCCAAGGTCTAGTCTAGTCCACGTGCAAGGCTGTGCAGCATCGCGCAGCCCGCCCGCCTCCTCTCCGAATTGTCTGTTGGGGGCAGGTCATGGCTTCTCTGGTTTAGCGTGTTTGGGGGTCATCGTGTTGTGGTCTCAGGACTGCATTCCTTCTGCGGCTGAGCGGTGCTCCTTGCCTCCTGGCCCGGCCGTCTCACCATCCTGCTGTGCACGCTGGTGCCGAGTCTCTGGGTGGACGTGGGTGCCGTTCTCGGGGCAGACGCCCCACAGTGAAACCGAGGGGCCGGCGGGTGATTCTGCTCTTAGCGCTTGAGGACCCGCGCGGCTTTCCTGCGCGACTGCTGCGACGTCCGGCAGCGTGTGCGGCGGCCCCCCCTCCCTCCCGGCTGCTGCCCCCCTTTTACAGTCACATCTGAGGAGGCTCGCGTGGGGGCGGTTGCATTTCCCCGGCGACCGGCGGTGCTGACATTCCTGCAGGTGCTCACTGGTCACTGGGGTGTCCTCGTGGGAGAACGTCTACTCAAGTCCTTGGCCATTTTTGAATGGAAATGAACATATTCTAGAACCCAAGCCCTTACCAGAGAGTGAGCTGCTCAGTGAGCTGTCCTGTCACTCTCCTGTGGCTCCTGCCTCCCCGCCCCCTCGCCCCCGTGTCCGGAGATGCCGTTTTGTAAATTCAGCGCCATGCGGCTCCCCCGTCCTGCCGTATGGGGTGCTGTAGTTTCAGCCTCAAGTGTAGGTCTTTGGCCCATTTCGAGTTAATTTTTGTCTGTGGTGGTAGAGGGGCCACCTCATTTCTCTGCCTGTGGGGGTCCCGTTGTCCCAGCACCATTCGCGAAAAGACGGTTCTTTCCACCGACGGTGGCGCCCTTCTCGGGTCCGTTGACGTCCGTGGGGGGGCTTGTTCCGGGCCTGTCTGTCCCGTTGGTGTCTGTCTGTCCCGTTGGTGTCTGTCTGTCCCGTTGGTGTCTGTCTGTCCCGTTGGTCTGTCTGTCCCGTTGGCCTGTCTGTCCCGTTGGTCCCTGTCTGTCCTGTTGGCCTGTCTGTCCCGTTGGTCCCTGTCTGTCCCGTTGGCCTGTCTGTCCCGTTGGCCTGTCTGTCCCGTTGGTCCCTGTCTGTCCCGTTGGTCTGTCTGTCCCGTTGGCCTGTCTGTCCCGTTGGCCTGTCTGTCCCGTTGGTCGGTCTGTCCCTCTCACAGCAGGTTCAGCGTAAGTTTAGAAATCAGGAGCAGCAACCCCCCAGACACTGGTCGTTCCCGGGATTGCGTTGCCTCCTCGGGGCCTCCAGGTTCCCTGTGGCCGTTTGGGTGAGTTTTCCTACGACAGTTATGGGAACCTTCTGAGCTGGCGAGTCAGCATCTTGAAAAACCCTAACTTAGCTCTGGTGCCGTGTCACATAGAGAAATTTTTTGATATTTGCAACCACAGTAAAACAAAGACTTATATTTTTGATATTTATTTTATAGATTTAAATGCCATTTAATAAAGAAAAATCAACCAAAAAACTGAGTTCGCATGTCACCTCTGACACGCGTGTCGTAGGTTCGCCGTCGCTGGCCTAGGCCTTTGGGATTTTGCCGGGACTGTCCTGAGTCTAGGCTCCCTCTGGGAGCATCTGCAGTGGTCGGGCTGCCCGTCCACACGAGGCGATGTCTCTCAGTCCTCTCGGCCGTGTTCCGGAGCTTTCAGTGTGCCAGCCTCTGCCGCCTTGCTTGGGCTTATTTCTAAGCGTTGTGAGAGAGTTTTGAAACTTCCTTTGTACATTGTTCATCGCGAGGGTGTGATGATGTGATTGTTGGTTTTATATCCTGGAACGTGGCTGAGTGTATTTACTGACCTAGCAGCTATTCTGTGGCTGCTTCTCTGCTAACAGATCGTTTTCTTTCCTTTTTATTTGGATGCCTGCTGTTTTTCAATCTATTTTTGCCTCATTGCTCTGCCAGAACTTCCAGTACTACGTTGAATAAAAGGGGCAGAAGGGGGCGCCCTCGAGGGACCGCGGCCAGCCTGCACCCTGAGCTGGGCGAGCTGCGGGCTGTTCGAAGGCCTGTGTCATGTGCAGGGGGCTCCCTTTCTGGATGCTAGTTTGTGTGGTGTTTTTATCATAAAAAGGCGTTGTATCCTGTCCGTTGTTTTGCTTAGTTGAGACGAGCCTTGTGCTTCCCCCTTCCCTTTGTCAGGGCGGTCGGTCACATGGATGGCTGTCTGGGTGTTGAGCCACCCTTGCATTCTGGGAATGACTCCGACGTGGCCATGACACATAACCCTTTTAACGTGTGCTGCGCCGTCCTCTGGCAGTTCGTGGAGGCTCCGCATCTGTGCACAAGGAGTATGGGCCGTAGTTCCTTCTCCTGCAGCATCTTTGTCTGGTATTGGTATCGAGGTAACAAGTCGAGCTTCGCAGATTGCTTGGGCCATTCAGGTTGGCAGGCACTCCTCGGACTCTCCAGAGTTTTGGAAGAATTGGGGGGTGGGTGTCTGACCTTTCCATGTTCAGGAGATTCCCCCGGGAAGCCATCTGGTGGGGCCTTTCTTGCTCAGAGGTTGATGCTGACCCAGCCTCCTTGCCGCCCACAGGTCTAGTCGGCCCTGTTTCTTCTTGCGTCAGGCCTGGTGGCTGTGCGCGCAGTTGGTCCACTTCACGAACTTGTCAGGGCCGTGTGTAGGAGAGTGGAAGTGTCCCCTAGTTACCCCGTGTCTGCAGGGACAACTACCCATGTCCACTCCTTATTGGAAACGTATGACTTTTCTCTTCTTTGTCTGTTTTGCTAGAGGTTTGTCCATGCAGGGCCTGCTGGCTCGCACCCTAGTATGGCGGCTTCTGGTCCCTGTGGCCATGGGGCCAGGTGGGGACAAGAGTGGGCCAGTGCACAGATCTCCTCAGAGCGTGGGTGCTGGGCCCAGGCCGAGGCCGGGCTCTGGACGAGTGCAGGAGGGAGGTTCCACTGGAGGGCGGTGTCCCTGGCCACGGCCACGCATTCTCGGTGTGTGGCTGCCCCCGAGCACGTGGCTGCTCCGGCGCTGGCGGGTCTGAACTCAGTTCTGGGTGGGCTCAGTGGTCTCGGCAGTGGCTCTCCTCCAGGTTCGTCTCTGGGGGTCCCCGGCTGCCTGCTGCCACCACGTGAGGGGCAGTTGGGGTGCCCAGGCTCGCAGCATCTGCCCTCTCCCCTGCCCTGCCCATGGAGCCAGCTGCAGGGAGAGGGGGAGAAAGGACCCCCTCGGCTGGAGGGGGGCCCACGGCAGGGGCTGAAGCTGTGCCCGAAGCGCCTGCCCCTCGAGGGTATAATTAGCCTCCCTGACAGGTGTGGTGGATCCGGTGGCAGTGGCCTGGGATGACCGGCCGCACCCCTGGGCTTGAAGCCTGCACCCCTCCCAGTGAGGTTCTCCCAGGCCTCAAGGCCCAAGTCCCACTCACCCCATTCCTCACCCTGCCCTCTCTTCCTTAGGACAGGCGGCGGTGGTCAGGAGGAGGGGTTCACACCCTGGACACCCCCACCCAGCCTGGCAGGACCCCCAGGCCCTCAGTTCAGCAGGGCGCTGCCCTCGCCATACGGGTTGCTCAGGGCACATGCTGGAGAGATGGCAGCTGGAGCCCGGCCAGCCCACAGGGAGCCTGGGCTCCAGCCGAGCAGGACGCTGCCGCCCACGAGGCCTCACCAGCTGTGCCCTCTCCCCAGTGCAAGAAGAAGCACACCCTGCTGTGCCCCGACTTCTCCCGCCGGGGCTCCTGCCCCCGGGGCGCCCAGTGCCAGCTGCTGCACCGCAACCAGAAGCGCCCCGGCCGCCAGGCATCCGCACCCCCCGCCCCGGAGCCCAGCCACGCACCTCCCAGGAGCAGGGCCTCCACTGGCCATGGGCCCAGGTGAGGGGGGACATTCAGGGCCCTGGGCAGCCCCACAGCCCACCCAGCTCTTTTGGCTTCAGATCCTAAAAGAAACCTCAGCCCTAAGTGGCCTCCAAGCTGGACAGAGCCAAGGGCAACCCTGGCCCCAACCAGCTAGTGTGGTGCTGCCAGCCCCTGCCCCTGCCCTGCCCCTACCCCAGGGAGGAGGTGGGGGTCCTCAGCCATGACTCCCACTCCCAGGGGAGGGCCTGCTGAGGTGGGGCCTGTGGCCACCTGCCCGAGGGTGGGAAGGAGCCTTGCGGAAGAGGAGGGCAGGCTCAGGCTGGCCTGGCACCTGGATGGTGATGCCTAGTGGCTGGGGGGCCAGGAGGGGGCGCTGGGAGCCTGGCCGCTGGGAGGGGATCTCCAGGTGGTTGGCTGGGGCTTCCAGACCTGCCTTGCGGGCGGCCGCCCTTCAATGGGTGCTCTCCCTTCTCTCCCCCAGGAAGCCCTCGGCCGCCCCGCGCCCTGTGAGGCAGACGCCCAGCTCCCCCGCCTCGGAGGCTGCTGGCCTGGCCTCCCCTCTCTGCTCCGCACAGGGGTCAGCTGCAGCCTGTGCCCTGCCCTCGAAGGCTCCCTTCTCCCCCTCCCCCTCCCCCTCCTCCCGCTCCTCCCACTCCCCCTCCTCAGACCAGGAGGAGCCGAAGCCGGTGCTCCAGGAGGAGGCTGCCTCTGCGGGGAAGGGCTCCGGAGGCCTCTCCAAGCTGCCTTCCTTCATCTCCCTGCAGTCCTCGCCCAGCCCAGGCATCCAGCCCAGGGCCCCGACCACCAGGAGCGCCCCCGCCAAGGACTCAGGTAGGCAGCCGGCCCCAGCACGGCCAGGAGCCTTTCCGTGCCCAGCTCTGACCCACCAATCAGAGTCTCCAGGTGGCCCATGGCTGAGCACCTGCCGCCAAGGGGCGGGGCTGAGGTGTGAGCGCACAGCGGCCAAGGGCTGATTTAATTAGAAAGCACCCATTTCTGTTAATTTGTTCTGGAAGCTTGGCTCAGGCTCCTGGAGAGAACAGATGCTCCCTCTCCCCGATGAGCATTTGGGGCTTGGTAAATGGCTCCACTCAGCCTTGTTGAGGAGAGAAAAGAGGATTTTATGGCTGCAAACGACCCTTTCTGTAAACATTTTACAGCTCTCCGCGCGTTTGAGTGACGATAAACCCCACGCAGCTCGGCGGGCTGCAAATTTGCGACCATACGGCCATCATTTTATTGTCATATTTCACGGTCGTAACGTTAATGGAAGATGCTTGCCGCAGCCTCCTCTAGCAGCTCCGCTGAGCACGCTCAAACGCGGACGCGGAGGGGCCCGGCCCGCCCGCCTCCTCTCACCCCCCACTCGGGCGAGGAGCGGCCGGCCCGCCATCGGGTGTGGCTCACTGGGGTGCAGACGGGCCGCTGGGAGCTCTGCCGCCACTTCTATTCTGTAAGATCCCGAACCCGGCAGCCAACCCAGAGTCAGAGGAGGCAGGTGGGGCGCCCCATCCGCCTGCCCTCCCTGCTCCGTGGAGGTGGGCGGGGAGGGCCCCGGGCAGGAGGCCGAGCCTCACCGCCCAGGCTGCCCCACAGCTGTGAGGGCCAGAGGCCTGGGGCCCCAGCTGCTGGGCCTGACTCCTGGGCTTGCGCTCAGCGGAGCAGGTGGCTGGGGGCTCAGCCTGCGGGGCATGTGGAGAGGCCGCCTGTGGGCAGCTGCGTGGACACGGCCTGTGAGGGGGCTTCCTGGGAAGGGAGAGGCGGTGGCCCCCAGGAGTACGGACCCGAGCGGCCCCTGGACACAACTCTCCGCCCTCTGGCTCCTTGCTCCTGGCCACAGGCTACCCCCCCCCCCCCCGCACGGGGACCTCGGTGCCCTCTCCCCCCAGCTGGCTGCTTGCACACACCTGCTTTCCCGCGAAGGCGCAGCGTGGTGCCAGCTGTGCACCTGCTCCCAGCTCCTCCTGCCGACCGCCAGGGCCTGCCCTGCCCAGGGCTCTGCTCCCACCTCCTGGGCCACGGGCCAGGCCTGCGCCCGCTGGACGCTGGATCCCGGTGGCCTGTCCGAAGCCACTGTCCCCACTTCCAGTGCCCCTGCTGTGCATGCCCCTCAGGGAGCTTGGGGGGCTTCCACCTGCCAGGGGGCTCCTGGCACCTGACCTCTGCCCTTCTCGGAACAGGGAAAACTCTGCACATCAAGCCCCGGCTTTGAGGGGCCAGCCCACGCCTACCTCAGCCCTCAGCGCTGGACAGAAAGGAGGCCACCCCGCCACCACCGCCCCAGGAGGGCCACCTGCCACAACGCCCTGGGGGCCGCAGGGCCATCGCTCCGCCCCCTGGCTCCCAGCCTCCCTGACCAGCGCGAGCCCAGGCCTCCCCCTCCCTCGGGCTGGGCCCTGCCTGGCCGGCCCCTCTGCACCCCGCACCTCCCACCCTTGGGTCCTCAGTCTCCCACCCAGCACAGGCCCCCAGCTCCCCGCCCTCTGTGGGTGGGGCAGTGGTGGTCACTGCACCCCCAGCCTCACCCAGGACTCCCGCCTGGGCACGGGGCCACCAGCCAGGCTCCCTGGCGGGCATTTCTGTTCAGCAATAAAGGTTGTCCCATGTCTGCTCGGCTGCCTGCCTGTCGCCATGCCACAGCTCACGGACGGCCGCTGCCCATGGGTCCTCTGGGAGCCCCTGGTGGGACCTGGAGGCCTGCGATTGAGTCGCCCTGGAGGAGGGGAGGGGCTGGCCGCAGGCCCCGGAGGTAGAGCTGTGACCACTGCTCTGCCCTCCCACCTGCCCACCAGGCTCTGGACCCGAACATGGCCAGGCAGGGTAAAGGTGCCCCCCTGCCTGTCCCTCATGGCCACGCCACCGTGACTTGTGGGGAAAGGCCCAGGGGAGCCAGGGGCCATGACTGCAGCTGGCTGGGGTGGGGTCCCCACACTGAGTCCCCCCGGAGGCCCCTGGGCAGCTCGAGAGTGGCTGGGCCCGGCAGGTTGGGCAGGCTGAGGCGGAGGCAGCTGGCACCTCCCACGCTGCAGGCGTCTCCACAGGGACCCCGAGCCTGGCTGAGGGTGGGGCTCAGCTTGGGGGCCTGGGACAGGGTCTGAGCACGGGCCTTAGGGTGTTTCCCGTTCCCTGCAGAGGAGGGAGGGGCTCCACCTGGTCTGGGAGCCAGCAGCTCCGCCCGCTGCCTGGAGTTGGGGTTGCTCTGCCTGCCCTCGGCCCAGGTAGAAGGGGCAGCCCTGTCCAGAGCTGGGGACGCAGGCCCCTTGGCCCAGGCCATGCTCTGGGGGGCGGGGGGCGGGGGCGGACTCAGGAGGACCCTGGAGCCCTGCTTCCCCCAGGCCCCCTGCGAGGTGGGGTCTCCGCACCAGCCCCGAAGGTGACGGGAGCCAAGCCGATGGCGGCTGACCCAGCAGCGCAGCGTCTGGTCATTGGTCACGGCCCAGGACCTGCCTGCGTCCCCTCGCCTTCTCCACATGCCCTTGGATGCCCTTGAGCTGTCCTCGAAGGGCGAAGCTTTGGGGCTGCCAGTGGGAGGCCTGGGGCAAAGGGGGGGAAGCCGGGACCCACTGCCCCCGCTGTAGCCCAGCGCCCGGAGCACCAGTCAGACTGCCCGCAGCCACCATGGAAAGCTCTGGAAGGGCTGGGCCTCAGTGGGAGATACCAGGCCGATGGCCACCTTGAGCCCCAACTCCCCCCCCCCCGACTCCCTGTGACCCATTAGGGGACCTACTCAGCCTCAGCTGAGCAACATCCTAGTCGCGCGTGGACGCCGAGGGGGGACAACGAGGGTGCCCCAGTCACTCTGGGCTCCCCTCGCCAAGAGGCAGGGCGACGAAGATCCTTGGGGATGAAGGTGCAGGTCACCCCAACCCAGACTAAAGGGGCGCCGCGGGCCTTGGCCAGGAGCAGGCTTTCGCCCGGGAAGGGCCACGTCCCCGGCTCCTGCCATCCTCGCTGGGCTGTCCCCTCTCCAGCTGTCCCTGCGCAGCCTCACCTGAGGGGACAGCCAGGAGCAGGCGCCCCCGCCCCCCCAGGCAGGGCAGGCCCGCGTCCAGGAGGCCTGAAGCTGTGCGGCCAGCAGAGTGGACCAGGGGGTTGGGGGCCTGCAGCTGCAGAGGAGACTGGGAGCGGCCTGTCTCAGCTCCAAGCTGCTTGGTGGGTCCTCGGGCATCTGGGCCTTTGGTCTTGGAGAGGCAAGGTGCCCGGTGGGGCCATGGGCAGGGCAGCGGCGCTGGGCCCGGAGGACAGAGATGACTCCAGGTGTGGGTCTGGAGGAGGCATGGACTGGGGAGGGGCACCCCCAGAATGGCAGCGGGCAGGCAGCAGCCTCCTAGGTGGGGCAGGCGCGGGCCTGCAGACACTGCCCAGGAGGCACAGCCTGGGGAGGAAGTGCGAGAGGAGAGGCGCGCAGCTTCCTGTCCATGTCCACGCAGGTGGCCCCAGCTCAGGAGCTGCCTCCCAGGGACAGACATGCCCTGCCGACCCGCCCTGGCCGCTGGGCAGCACTGTCTGGCGGAGCACGTCACATTTGGGGGCGGACCGTGGGGGCTGCTGCCTGGTGGTCGCTGAGCACAGGCCTCAAGGACCTCGGGGACTCTGATGGGGGCTCAGCTGGTCTGCAAGGCCGCCCTGGCCACATCCGCCAGCGTGACCTCTCAGGACAAGGGGAGGCACTTGGGCAGACTGGGGGGTGGGGGGGTGCCACAGAGCCCAGCGTGATGGGTCCGCGCCCTCAGCTGGAGACCAGGAGCTGGGAGGAGGCCCAGGTGGGCCCTGGGGTTGGGCTTCTCCACCCCAGCACCCTCCTGGGCTTGGGCCCACCCCTGCCTGGCCCAGCAGCCCGGCGCCGAAGGGCAGCCCAGTGCCGGCGCTCTCCCCGGCCGACAGGCAAACGCTTCACTCCTGAGTCCAGAGCCTCCCCCTGGACACGGGGCTTTAGGGGCAGCCCCAAACCCTGTGATGCTTCTGTCAACCTGTGTCCTGGGGCCCAAACGCCTGGCCCGGGGGCTCCATCCTGCCCGGCGCTGCCTGGCCCTGTCCGAGGAGTCCCTGCCCCCGCCCCGCCCCGCCCCGCCCGCAGGGAAGGCAGAGAGGCGCCCGCTAGCACGGGGCTGGGCCGCCTGTGGCCTATTAGGTGGGTTTCGGCCCCAGTGGTGGGACATTTTTATGATGAATGACAGACGTTCGAACAGAACAAGGCACAGCCCTGGTAGCTAGTGCCCAGCACACGGGGGGCGGGGGGGGGGGGGTTGGTCGGCCCCTGGCGGCTTCCTGCCCGCGGCCTGCCACACTTTCCTTCTTCTGAACAAACACCGCAGTTAACACTGACTTTTTACAAAAGTCATGTAACAGCAGGAGAGAGAATTGGGAGGGGCTCGCTGCTCAGGCCCCTCCCTCACTGACCCTGGGGGCAGGGGCAGGGACCCCACCCGCTAGGGCGCCCCTGGCTTCACTGCCCTTTCCGCTGTCCGAGCCCTGGGCCACCGACTGCACCTAAACCCCCACCCCACCCCGTGCCCGCCAGGCCCCGCCCCGCACCCCGTCCCCGAGCACCCCCTCCGCGGTCCCCTCCCAACCTGTCCGCACCCCTAGATCCCACCGCCAGGGTGAAACTTTGTTGACTGAATTCCCGAAGCCGCCTGAACCGCGCGCTAAAAATAACCGCGCGCCCCGCGTAGCGCCCGCCAGGCCGGGTGTCACGGCGTCGAGAGGCCGGGAGGTCCCCGCACGGCCACGCCAGCGGCGGGACGCGGCCTCCCGCCAGCCGGGCAGCGCCGGGAAGGGACAGCTGGGTCCCGGCCAGCGGGGCGGTGGGGGGACCGAGGCACCAAGGGGCACCCTCTGCTCCCAAGACTCCACGGCCGCCCCGTCGCGGACGCGAGGCCCCAGAGGCCGCGAGCCGGTGCCCACACCCGGCGACCCTCTGCCTCGCGCCCCCGCGCCCTCCGCCGCTGCAGTCCCCCGCGGTGGCCACCAGAGGGCCCTACTCCTCCTCCAGCCCGCGGCCGTCACCACCCCTTCCCACAGCTGTTCCCCGCAGGAGATTGACAGCTGGGATCCGGGTTGCCATGGGGATAGGCAAATGAGGGCGCGGGTCTGGGACTCTTATTGGCCCGAGGGCGCGCGCCCCTCCCAGGGAGGCGGGCCCGGGTGCCGGGCTCTATAAAAGGGGAGCGCTCGCTGCGGCGCTCGGCCTTGGAGGCGGGGCCGGCCCAGCGCGGGGGGGAGCACGGGGGAGTCCCAGCAGCCCGAGGCGGCGGCCGCCCCGCCACCCGCCCGGCCACTTGCCCGGGCGCCAGCGTGGGGACAGGGGAGCGCGGCTGGCCTGCGCCCGCGGTGACCTGGGCGCGCTCGCGGCCCGAGCCGCCCAAGGACCCAGCGGGCGTGTCCCCGTGTCCCCAGCGGCCGAGACTGAGTTGACTGCGCGCGAAACTTTTACACACGCGCCTTGGCGCTGCAGCCAGGAACTGGCCGCCCCTGCCACCCGCCGGGACCCAGCGCCCCTGGGGATCTGAGCGGGGGAGCGGCCCGCGGCCCCCCCCCCCCCGCCCCACGCCCTCCTTTGGGGCGCAACCGGGCGGGGCCGGGCCCGGGCGATGGCCGCGGAGCTGGCGATGGGCGCCGAGCTGCCCAGTAGCCCGCTGGCCATCGAGTACGTCAACGACTTCGACCTGATGAAGTTCGAGGTGAAGAAGGAACCCCCCGAGGCCGAGCGTTTCTGCCACCGCCTGCCTCCCGGCTCGTTGTCCTCGACGCCTCTCAGCACGCCCTGCTCCTCCGTGCCCTCCTCGCCCAGCTTCTGCGCGCCCAGCCCGGGCGCCGGGGCCGGCGGCGGCGCAGCGGGCGGCGGCGGTGCAGCGCAGGCCGGGGGCACCCCGGGCGCGGCGAGCGGGGGTCCCGGCGCCGTCGGGGGCGCCTCGGGGAAGCCGGCGCTGGAGGATCTGTACTGGATGAGCGGCTACCAGCACCACCTGAACCCCGAGGCGCTCAGCCTGACGCCGGAGGACGCGGTGGAGGCGCTCATCGGCAGCGGCCAGCACGCCGGGCACCACGGCGCGCACCACCCGGCAGCGGCGGCGGCCTACGAGGCCTTCCGGGGCCAGGGCTTCGCGGGCGGCGGCGCGGGGGACGTGGGCGCCGGCCACCCCCACGGCGCGCACCACGGCGCCCACCACCACCACGCCGCTCACCACCACCACCACCACCACCACCACGGCGGCGGCGCGGGCCACCACGTGCGCCTGGAGGAGCGCTTCTCCGACGACCAGCTGGTGTCCATGTCGGTGCGCGAGCTGAACCGGCAGCTGCGCGGCGTCAGCAAGGAGGAGGTGATCCGGCTGAAGCAGAAGCGGCGCACGCTCAAGAACCGCGGCTACGCGCAGTCCTGCCGCTTCAAGCGCGTGCAGCAGCGGCACATCCTGGAGAGCGAGAAGTGCCAGCTGCAGGGCCAGGTGGAGCAGCTGAAGCTGGAGGTGGGGCGCCTGGCCAAGGAGCGGGACCTGTACAAGGAGAAGTACGAGAAGCTGGCGGGCCGCGGCGGCTCCGGGGGCGCGGGCGGGCCCGGCTTCCCGCGGGAGTCCTCGCCGCCGCAGGCCGGGCCCGGCGGGGCCAAGGGCGCGCCCGACTTCTTCCTGTGACTCGGGCCCGAGCCCGCGCCGCCGCCTCCGGGAGAGGCTTAGACCCCGCGGGCCGGGACTAGGACGCGAGGCCGCCCGGAGTCAGCGCCGCCGCTGCGGGCCAGCCCTGGGCACCCGCTCCCGGTCCGCGGGCGCCAGACCCGAGGCTCTCCCCGCGCACCTGCCGGGCCGCGGCTCCTCCGCGCGGGGAGCGCAGTGATTTCCAGGAAAGTGGCTCCGGGTCCGACTTCCCCGGGAGCCCCACGTGCACGCCCTCGCTCGTTTCTCCTTCGCCTCCAGTCCTCGCCCTTGTTTACGACTCCGTTTGAAGCGGTCTTGTTTTCGACGTGTTTGTAATTTATTTCGCTTGGCGATTAGAAAAGGCCCCGGAAGAGGCTCGCTCCTGCCCGCCGGGGTCTCCCTTGGACATCCGCGTTCCCAGCATGTGCCGCCCGCCCCGCCCCGCCCCGCCCCGCCCCGCCTGGTCCCGCCTGGTCCCTGGGAGATGCAGGCCCAGGAGCCGGGGCTGCACCCAGTCCTGCTGCCTGTGGAGGGGGGAGGGGGGCTCGGACCCGCGCCGCGCGTTCTCTGTGCACCAGAGGGTACTATGACTCGGGGAGACGCATCTTATTTAACCTTCAAGAGGAATGAAAGAAAAAAGTGTGACCGCGTTTCTAGCAGAAAAACCATTTTAAGCGGAGGTTTTGGCCTGAACCTCCCGGCATGGGGGTGGGTGAAAAAAAAGTGTCTCTATTTTCATTTAAATTGTTTCGTTTTGTTTGTGGGTTTTTTTAAAAAAGCCCGACCTTCATGGGCGAGCGGGAGGGTGGGGAGGCCGGCGCTCCGTTTGGCTGGGCTGTTGGCTCCTTTTTCATTTGCTGCGAAACTGCGGAAAGGGGAGGAGAGAGGGGGAGCGCCAATAAACCCGCTGAGGCCGAAACGAGTCGCTGGGGCGCTGGTTTCCTTTCTGTCGCGCTTCTCCCTGATCAGAAGGGGACCCTGGTCTGCGCCCTGCCTCCGCTCTGGGCCACGGGGAGCCGCCGCCCTCCGCCCGCCCCGCCAGGCGGGGAGGGGCCGCTGGGGCGCCCTTGGTGGTGGCCCCACGTGCAGTGCCTGGTGTCCTGGTGGCCAGCGCTGAGCCTGGGGTCTCCCCTCTGAAGAGCGGCCTGGCCTCCATCCCCGCAAGGCCAAGGCCTGGACAGCGGCCGGAGCCTGACTGTCACCTCCCTTCACAGAGGAGGGAGCTGGTGACCCCGCGGCTGGCACTTTCGGGGAGAAGGGCTCCGGCCGCTCCGGGTAGAGGGCTGCGGTCCCGTGAGCTGAGCGTCGCCAACGTTTGGTTTATTGTCTCCAAAAGGCGAGGCTGCGCTTGGGAATAAAACTCAGAGCGAAGGTTGAGCAGCACCCAGGTCCCGGGGCAGCGCCCCCAGCGCGCAGGGTCTGCGCTGAGCCCGCCGAGCGGGGAACTGTGTGCCCGGAGCCGACGGACGAAATTGGCTGCGGGTGACCCGGGAGGGGCCCAGCCGGTCCCAGCACCTCAGGACGGCGGACGCGGCTGGCAGGAGGCCCTCCGGTTTCCAGAGGGGTCGGAGCCTTCCCCCTGCAGAAGCGCCAGTGGGTTTGGGGAGGGAGCTTCCCGGGCGCCCGGCTGTGACTTCACGTCCCTCCTCTTCTCCTTCATCCTCACGTCCTGCCGCCCCCCCCTCCCCTCCCACCAGTCCCCCCAGGAGACACCTGGGGAGGCAGAGGGTCCCCAGAGCGTGGACTCGCTCGCTGCGGGAGGCAGGGCGCAGGGGGCCTGCTCTGGGCGTTTGGAGACGCTTTTCCAAACGCATTGGGGGAACCGCGGACTCGGGGGAGAACAGCCGATGGTGGGGAGCGCTGGCCCAGCCGAGTGCGGAGCGAGGCCCGTCCTGCTCCTCCGCCGCCTCCCGGGCAGCCCAGGCCCCTCCCCTCCGAGGAGGAAGTGCAGCCGCTGGGGCTGGGGCTTCGCGAGAACTGGAGGCCTGAGAGCTCGTGGGCCACGGGACAGGGACCCAGGGACTGGAGACGGGTCTCAGGAGTGTGGACAGAGGTGGCACCAAGATGCCCAGCTAGGAGCCCCCTGGGCCCATGGGTCTGAGAGGGACCTGGGGCAGCGATGGGTGGGGGCCTGGGGCAGGGTGGGGGGAGGGGCCTGGGGCACGGCAGCCTGCGGCTGCAGGACTCCTGCTCTGCACTAAGGCCCCAGCCCCTGCCTGGATGCTCATGCCCCGGGGGCTGTGGCGACACCACCCCTGCCCCATCCCTCCTGGCAGGGCTGCCCTGGCACCTGGGCCCTGTGCACCCCCAGATCCGTCCTGTGAGGGGCTCCAGGGACCTGTGCTGACAGAATCCACACCTTGGCCTCCCAGCACCACCCCTGCCCTCGCCCCACCCGCCTCTGGAGGGAATTCCTCTCTGTCCCTGGTCCCTTCTCTTTTCCTGACCAGCGAGGGAGGACCCAGCAGGGGCCAGGTGTGCCCGAGGGAGGTAGGCAGTAACCCACCCGGGGAGCCAGCGATGCCAGCGGTCGGGCGTGAGGAGGGCTGAGACATTAGAGTAGATTGGGGCGCCCTGAGGGCAGCTGAGGACCTCAAGTTCCCAGGAGCCGCTCCTCTGCAGCGTGCAGCCCAGCTGGGTGGGCCAAGCGGGCTGAGGGGTCACATGACCTGGGAGGTGACAGGGCCACATGCACACACTTGACACCAGACAGGTGTGCACACGACAGGCTCCCACGCACGTGTCCCCAGCACCCAGCCCCACCACAGCCGCCAGCCAGGATGGAGGTCACTCCCACGCCCCCGCCCCCCAGCTGTACTCTGTTCCTAGATTCCCAAGATGGGGACCAGGCCACCCCACACCAGCTGTCCACTCCCAGCCCCCAGGCCCAGCCCCCAGGCCCAGCACCCAGGCCCAGCACCCAGGGCCCAAGGCCAGCAGCTCCTGCCCAAGGCTCCGTGGGCCTCATCCCTGCTTCCACAGGGTCCCCCTACCCTCCAGGCACGCAGCACAGCTGGGGGGACTCTGACCGGGGCCTCAGTGCCCAGCAAGGCGATGCCCTCCAGGTGGGAAGTGTCCCCTCGTCCCCCAGCCACGCCTCCGTGGGGACCATCAACGATCCCTCACTCCGACCTGACCCCGCGACCCGTGGAAGGAGAGCAGGTGGCCAGGCCAGCGTGGCTCAGCGGATAGAGCGTCGGCCTGCGGACTGAAGGGTCCCGGTTCAGTTCCAGTCAAGGGCGCAGGCCCAGGTCGCGGGCTCCGCTACAGCGGGGGGCGTGCAGGAGGCAGCCCATCAGTGGTTCTCTTCACTGATGTTTCTCTCTCTTCCTCTCTGACATCAATACAATATATTCTTTAAAAAATAGAAGAGGGGACGGGGGCGGGGGCTCGCTGGAGGAGGGACCTGCGGGAGGCTGGGCCTGGGATGCGGGAGAAGGGGGGAGGGGGTCCCCTCAGCGGGGGTGGGGCGAGGGTCTGCATGAGGTGGAGGCAGGAGGAGGGGCAGGGAGAGTGGAGGTGCGGCAGGAGGTGGGAGAGTGTGAGGCTGGGGGTGCACAGGGCAGAGAGAGGGGGCGGGGGGGGGGGCCGCCACTCCCCCAGGCACAGCCTGTCAGGCTCCCAGGTTGAGGTGCCTGCGCCCCCCACGTGCCCACGGAGCCCCGACCAGTAATTGGCTGCTGCAGCGCCGCCTAATTCACCGCGACCCCCTCAGCTGCTGGGGGCTCCGCTGTCACAGTCCATTCGCCTGCGCCCCGGGGCCGGGCTGGGGGCGCAGAGAAGTGGGGGGCGCCCGGTGGCATCCGACCTGACAGGCGGTGAGGTGGGGGGAGGGGCAGGGCCAGCCGGGTGCACGGGGGGGGGGGGGGCGCTCCCCTCCCCCTCCTCCCCCCTCCTCCAGGTGGGGTCCGCCTGGGAGGAGCAGCTCTGGGCCGCCGCCCGGGCTCCCTGAGCTCCGCTAAGATCCGGGTTCCCAGGGCCCTCGGGTCAGAGGCGCAGGCCGGGCAGAGGCCACCCGCGGTTTCCTTGGGGGTCGCAGGCCCCCCGCTGGGTTCAAGCCGCGCTCCACCCCCACCGCCCGGGGCCACCCCAGCAGAGCCTCCCCCGGCTCAGGGGGACCCCATCAGGGGGAGGGGAGGGGTGGGGACCTGGGCCCGCCCTGGGCAGCCTCTCCCCGGTCAGCCAGCTCCGGGCCCTGGGGCCGGACACCCCACCGGGAGTCCTCTGCCCCAGAGCCGCCTGCGGGGCGACCCCTGGGCCAGAGCCGCCCGCCCTGCCCTGAGCCAGGCCCGTGGGTGCGGGGCCCTGACTCTGACGGCAGGCGACCCCCCCACAGGTCAGCGCTGAGCGGGTTCTGCGGGCGGGACAGGCCCCTGACCACTGAGCGCGGGGTCCTCTCCCGGTGGCTTCTGGGGAGGCACTGAGGGGGGACGCCTGTGCCCCCCACAGTCTCACACCCCCTCCCAGGCTTTCCCTGGGGACCAGGCTCCTGGGCCGCAGGCGGAGGGAGGGCCTTAGGTCGGTAAACGGCCGGGTGCCTCCCGTTTCGTCCCCAGGACACGACGGGGACAACGGGCAACGGGCGGTAAGCACTCTCCTTTCTCCATCCCCGCTGCGGCTAATCTCATATTGATGATAATTTCCCTCTAATGGGCGATCTGCAGTAATTAGGACGCGCGGACTGAGTAATTGCCTCTGACTCCAGTGCCCACCATGGAGGGTGGGGGCCAGGCCGGGGCCCTCTCCGCCCAAGTCGCTCTGCCCACGGCCTGGGACCGGCCCGCCCAGCACCCGGGGGGGGGGGGGCCCTCCTGGGCCTGAGGCCAAGGTCCTGGCTCTCGGCTCCCAGAGCTTATGGGGCCTCCTCCCCAGGCAGCGCCCACAGCGTCCCCCCCAGAGCCCGATGGGGCTCACACCCGGGACAGAGCACCCCCTCCTCCCTCCCGGGCGGCTCCCATCTGGGTGTGGCTGGGCCTCTGTGACTCCCCAAAGGGCCTGTCCTGGGGGCCCCGTCTCGGCTGGGACCTGAGCCCCACCAGCGGGGACTCCGAGCCCTGCCCTGCCGCCCGGGGCCCAGCGCACAGGGGGAGCCTCGGGGCCGCCCAGCGCCACTGGTCAGGGGGCTGCGCCTCCCCTCAGACCTGTCAGCCCACAGGCTCCTGCCTCCCCACCCCACCCGCACCCAGCGTCTCTCTTCCCTCCCCCCAAGCCTGTTGCCCAGGTCCCGGCAGCACCAGGCCCAGAGCCAGCTGGCAGAGGGCCCGTGGTCTCCTGCGCGCCTGAACACCGGCTGGGAGAGGTCAGGGGTCAGGCCCGGGTCTCAGGAGACACAGGAACCCAGAGTCCACGAAATCCCTGTTGAGGACCCCGTGCCCTGGGCCTACACCCTGCCCTGCCCTCCCCAGACACCAGGGCTTCCTTCAGACTCACTGGGCACCTGCAATTCAAGCCTGTGAGGAGCACCAGTAGGCACGGATCCTTGTGTCTGTCACCCCCACCATCACCACCATCACCATCACCATCACCATCACCATCACCATCATCACCTCCATCACCACCACCACCACCACCATCACCATCACCACCATCACCACCATCACCACCATCACCTCCATCACCACCACCACCACCACCATCACCATCACCACCATCACCACCATCATCACCATCACCACCATCACCACTATCACCACCGTCACCACCATCACCTCCATCACCACCACCACCACCACCATCACCATCACCACCACCACCACCATCATCACCATCACCATCATCACCACCGTCACCACTATCACCTCCATCACCACCACCACCACCACCATCACCACCATCATCACCATCACCACCATCACCATCACCACCACCACCATCACCACCATCATCACCATCACCACCATCACCATCACCACCATCACCATCACCACCACCTCTACCATCACCACCACCACCACCATCACCACCATCACCACCACCACCACCATCACCATCACCACCACCATCACCATCACCACCACCACCACCATCACCATCACCACCACCTCTACCATCACCACCACCACCACCACCACCATCACCACCACCACCATCACCACCACCACCACCACCACCACCACCACCACCATCACCACCACCACCACCACCACCACCACCACCACCATCACCACCACCACCACCACCACCACCATCACCATCACCACCACCACCACCACCACCACCACCACCATCACCATCACCATCACCACCACCACCACCACCATCACCACCACCACCACCACCACCACCACCACCACCATCACCACCATCACCATCACCACCATCACCATCACCATCACCACCACCACCACCACCACCACCACCACCATCACCACCACCACCACCACCACCACCACCATCACCATCACCACCACCATCACCATCACCATCACCACCACCACCACCACCACCACCACCACCATCACCACCACCTCTACCATCACCACCATCACCATCACCACCATCACCACCATCACCATCACCACCAC